GGATGCTGTAACAGCCACCCTACTAAAATAGGTAATCCATATTTCAAAAGAGTTTTTAATCTCCACTTAATTTGTAATGGAAGTATCACCTGGTAATTCTGAACCTAATATACTCCCCAAACACTGGACTACTTTATACACTACTTTCTTATTCAAGCTAATATACTGGCCTTTAAACAAATCAAAACCTGCTCAAATGGAACACTGTTTTAAATAGTTCACAACTTATTTTCACCATCTAACTCCCAGCAGGGTGGGAGGATGGGTACACCATCAGTACACTAAAGCCCAAACCCTGCAATCCAAGATAAAATCCACAAAACTTGAAATGCCAGCAAGGTAATATATCTCAGAGAGAAATCAATCGACACAACAAGCTGCTTTGAAAGAAGGATGATTGCAGTATTCTAGGGAGGCAAGAGGGGAAGGTTATACAGGAGCACGTCTTCTCTGACCTGCCATGGGCATTTTATTCTTGCCAAGGCTACCTGTTTTATGAGATCTCTCAAACGCAATAGCGCTCTCTCCTTCATCACCTCATGATTTTTAGGAAAACAGGCCTGAGACCTCTGTCACTGTTCCAAGTCAGTGATAGGCAACAAGTGACTCATACTTTTCAATCTACAGGGCTACAGCCAACAGAACTGCAACGCTAGCCCAGAGAGATTCATGTTCCTGATTGATAATTTGATCTCTTAAAACACAAGGGACACTAGCTGCCTAACAGAAAGAACGTTAATCTACCTTTTAAGAAAAGCTTAAGTGCTGTGTCCTTCCAGACATAAACCAACATTGTATGATTGTCAATCCTGGATATGAACAGCAGCACCAGTAACCCAATTGCTTGCATTATGACACATTTACCATCACCTCACAGTCTTTTTTCTTTCCCTCTGGCAAGGGAGTTTTTAGACAGAACACAGATACCATAAGAGAAAGAAAGGATGATAGTTGAGTGAAATTGATCTTACAGTATAGGAAAAAAAAGGACAGATTGTTTCAAATTTTTAACCCATTTTAAGTTTAGCTTTTTAGTTTGTGTTTAGAAATCTGAGGTCTGGAAAACACTGAGAAAGAAATACTGCTACATTCAGTGCAAAACTTTGAAAACAAGCCTCTAATTTAAGTATGTTCTTTGATAAAGCTAGGTACCAATGAAAAAAAGAAAAAAGCTAAAGTGATCTTCAGTTCTTTTTTTTTTTCCCTCCAAAAGAATAGATTAAGAAGACCTTAGCTAAAGCTAATAGGATAACTAAGTTGTTCACAAGCCCCCCAGTCCTCATTCTTCAGTTATTACACCATTTACTTTAGCAGGAAAAGTCCCATACTTTTTAAATGTGCAGACAAATTGCAAGGCCAAAGGTAAGAAGGACACAACTCTTAACTTTAATGTTCTGCCAGGAGACAATGTCTTTTCTTACTTATTACTCTGGTGTAAACCACTTTTTCTGACCTACTTTTTCTCTGGGAGCACCAAAGTTTCAAGCATTCACCCAAAGTGACCATTTCGCTTTGAGAGTGGTGGTGGTGGAGCAGCTCCAGGGAGACACCGTAGCAAGCAAAAAGTTCCTGTCTGGGTTTCCTGGAAGTTCTGAGGGCTGCTGTTTTGTTTGGCCAAAATATGGAAGCTGTCCCGTGATGAAAATGTTGCATTTTTTAAGTGGAAGTAAGGCACAGCAATCACTGCAACCACTCTGACAAAGAAAGAGTGAAAGCTGTACTCAAGGGACTAATATGCTTCTAAGGCTATACTCAGCTCCCCAGTCCAAGTCATGGAAAGAAGGAGTTTAACTACTCTGATAAAGCTCTATAAAAAACCAACTGAGAACAAAAGATGAAACAAGACTGGCTGGGTAAACAAGTGAGCCTTGACCCTGTCTCATCTCCTATTATATTAAAAAGGAAAAAAGTCCTATTTTACCGTCTCTTATGGCACATAATACTATAATCTCCTAGTAAAAGAAAGACCTACTGAAATTTCTAACAAATTCTAATTACTGACATTTCACACGACTCAAACGACCCTTTGGGAAACTAAGCACCTGTGCAAGTTCATGAATTTCAAAGTAAAACTGGAGCTAACATCTTCATTTGCAATATGCAAAGCATAGGATCATATTTTTAAAGCAGTAATTTTTCCTTTTTTTACAAAAATAATTTTGCTTATTTGCAGGAGCATGCAGAGAAGAAAGTCTTCAAAATTATGAAATATCCTAATAATAAAAGCTCTTCACCTTTTTGTATTGCAAGCCAGCCATAAAAAATAACTGTTATTCCAAATAATATATACAAAGATACAACAAAGCCAGAGCAGTGAAGTTTACTCTTGCAACAAAGCCAGTAAGAAACATGATATGAAAACATGCATTTATGAGACATACTAGACAGAAAGTGTGAACTATTGTAGAGAAATGGAATGGGACACTTACACAGTGGCTCTCTCAGGGGGTCCTGATGGTTACTATGTTCTTAAACCATCTAGACAGAATAGCAGGCTGGGCAGAAGGGAGCCACATACAATCCACCAGATGACAATGCTACACAGTGTAGACACCAGCATAGCTAGGAGCCATCTAAAAAAGGGGTTGGAGGGGGAGGAAAAGATGAACAAAAATTCAAAAGCAAAAGCTATTGGTGCATTTCAGCTTGTTTCAAGTTCTTCAAAAGCATATTTTTCTATAACCTTTGCCAAGCATTTTCGTACTTTCTATGACTGTAATAATCCATGCAACTATAAATTGCCAAATGTAGTGTCTGTGTGTTGCTGGAATCAAAGACAATTTTCTGAAATCCTCACTGAAGTTGTCTTTCCCAAAGAAAGTCTGTATCACTCTTTTTAAATCAAGTGCATGGTGGAGCAATACATCTCTGACCACTTGCTGTCATCTCTCAGGCAGTTTGACGAGCCTCCTATATTCATACATCCTACTCCACAATCATGTTTTAATACTAAAACATTAGATCAGAGCCAGATCAGTTTGTAGGAACAACCAACTTACGTAACACTCAGATGATGGGGTATATTACATTTCTGTGTTCAAAGTAGCAAAAACTAATTCATAATCTTTTGCTAAGGGTGCAGAATATTGCTTATTAGAACATATACAAAGTATCCATTCATCGAGGCATAACAAATGTTATACACAAATCCCTTGTGAGGTAAACATAAGCAATGCCACTAACTCTTAAAGACTGTAATTGTCCCAGCCTCTGGTGCTCTTATTTTGCCTTTTTAAATTTTTTCTGTGAAAGAGAATTACATAGAGGATTTAAAGCTTCTTTTTGTTTGCTTAAATAAAACTTATCAATTTTACTGCAAGATTAATTATTTTTAACAGTCTGAACTAAAAAGGAAAAAGACTTACATCTTTTCTAGTAGGGAAGACTTCTGACTCATGTAGGGCAGCTAAATATTCCTAGCAATATTTTGGTTTAATAATAGTAACACAAAGAATGTAAGAAGTTATACATTCATTTTTTCACCAAACTATTTCAGCACAAGCTGCAGACCATACAAATAACTCAGGGGAACAGGAGAAGAGAAATTCCAACTCCATGTGCCACAATGCATACTATAAAACCCAACTAGCTCTAGATCAGTTATTTTAATTCTATGGAAGTACAGGCTAACTAGTTTTAATTAGAGCAGTCATGTTGCAGAATGCTTCATGAATGGAATAGTATTTTAATAGCTGATAAGCTTTCTGCATATTAAGACAATGGTTGAATAGATTATAGAGTCTACATTCATTCTATGGAGCATAGAATAAAAGACATCTTTCACAATGTTTATTACATGACTTAAAAGTGCCTTTTATGAAAACATATTATGAAGTGGAAACTAAGAAACTAATGTGCAGGGTAGCTGGTTTTTGCTGTGCTATTTCAGGTAATTGAGGTGATGTGTTTTGGGGATTTTAAATGTTGGTTGGGTGCAGGCTTTGTTCTAAATCTGCTTATATGATTGCCTGTGTAAATGATGACCATGAATAAAAGAGAATTTTTTTAAACAAAAGCAGAATTCATACAAACCAATGCATGAAGGTTTCCAAAGACATATTTCCTTTACCTTCAGCACATTCTTACTACATACCTCTCACTTTTTCTAAGAGTCTGATGACACTATTTGTACTTAAAACAAAAAAAAGCAGCCATCATCCCCTACAGAAAGACAGCATAACAAAAGCTAAGTTGCCTTTGGTACGTGACTCTGGTACTGTTATTTGCAAAAATCTGACAGAGGTCACCGTTCCTTTCCTAGCAATCAAATGAGATCCAGGTATGTCTTGCATTCTCTTGCAGTTTATTTAAGGGCAGACAGAAAGTTTGTCTACCTAGAGTTGCTACAAGCTACAACAGATGCAAAAGTGACTATAAACTTTCTTTTACAGGTGGTGTTCTGGTACTTGTCTAAAATAAAGAGACTAGCATACCACGTTCCCTGACAGAAATGCACTGAAATAGTGCTGCTCTCTGCCTTCCAGATCTACCAGCCATTAACTCAAAGCCCACAGGATTTAGGGAAAGTTCTTTCCAAGGAAGAGGAAACGAAAGGAAGCTAAAGATTCTTCTTTCAACTCTTCTTTTTAGGCAGCTGACTTTACTTCAAAAAACAGCGCGTACCTTATTTCAGCCAATCAAACACCACCACACAGAGTCACATTCTTCCATTTTTATACTACCACAGGAAAGACAAGAGAATGTTTGTGATGAAACTAGAAGTAAAACATTCAGGAATATGGGAACTTGTAAAGAGCAGACTACTGGAATCAGAAACAATGCAGAACACTAGAAACTGAGTAATGCAGTTCTTCAACCAGGTTCTCCTGCCTCCTTAGCGTGCACCAAGCTTTCAGAGAAATGGTGAATCTTGTGCTTGTTTTAAAGAAGTGAAAGCAGTCTTGGCAACAGACTTCTGGGGTCAGAGCAAAGTATGCATAAAGAAGAAGATAAAAGTATTTCTGGCATTCAGAAATTCTTACATTCAGAAACCGACTTACGTTAGAGGAGATGCAGTTGGAGTTTTTGCCTGCCTTCTACTTTTCAGTGCACGAAGCTTATCACCTTGAGTTACACAGTTTGTTTCATCTTCATCGCTGTACTGAGTAATTGGAGGGGGGAAGGGATAAACCGAGATTAAAATATAGATAGACACTTAAGAACTAACCTTATCTTAAATCTTAAAGTCAGATTTATCCCAACAGGAAAGTTTGCCAGCATAAAATCAAAGGAAATTCACTTGCATAAATACAATTCTGTTCTTTCACATTTCCTGTTTGCTGCTCTTAGAGCTGTAAACCATTAAGTGGTGTAATGAATTACATGCATCAGATTGCTATCTGCCTTTAAAACAGCAGAAATGTATTATCAAGTCTTTGCTTAGGTACAGTACAATCTTCAGTCAAGTACAGCATTTCCCTCCACTTGCCATTTTAAAAAAGCACTACCATTTTTTAAAAAAGGGAGCATCAAAAGGTATTATAGAAGTTGCAATTACTTAGAAACTAAAAATAGCAAAACCCCTTTCATCTCTTTCCTTTAAACAACACAGTGAAGTAACAGATAATCCAAAACAAAATCACAGTGGTTTTGATTGCAAATCATAAGTACCTTTTTTGTTCTAATATTTACCTAATTACTAAACACTAAAGTATGATAAGGATGTTCCTACTTCACCTGTGTACTGCAGTTCATTTTTCATACTTTCTGTCCATATTTCTTTTTCCCCCTCATACCCCTTGATATAGAAAGGGCAAACAGACAAAGAATGTGACTAACAGAGTTTTAGTGCACCCACAGGCTTGTTCAGAACCTGAGAGATTCTCAACAGCAGTTACAACTTTTACAAGAACACAATATTCAGGTGTTTACCAGCTCAATGTCCTTTTGGATGGTTCTCCTGTCTCTTCTGTCATTGATCGAAATATCATCTACTCCTGACAGAATTCTTGTTACAGCAATTTTACGGTTTCCTCTCAACTTTGCACGGAAAAAAAAAAAAAAAAAAAGCCCCAAACACAACAAATTAACAGCAAAGATTATTAAGTGTACAAAAAAAGAAGAAGACATCTAGATCTATTTTTTAAATCATTTATAGTCAATCTACTTACTCCATCAGGAAATGTTGTTGTGGTCCAATCACTGAACCAGGTCTATTTATTCTAATCCAGGCAATAGTTTCAGCAGCTGTCATCCGATAATGCTTCATAATATAACAGGCAATAAGTGTACCAGTTCGTCCAAGACCAGCTGTGTAAGATAAAAGAATGGCTTTTTTATATACCCATCTTCATCTGGAATCTGCTGTAGCTACAGACATTGTTACTTGGACAAATAGTTACTTGCTTAGTTCATTAAACAAACCTCTTATTGATCAAACTTGGCAAGCACAACTTACCTTTTGATTTTTTTTTCCATGTACAAGGTTACTAACACATTGTTCACGTTTTTTGAGTAGGCAACCTTTCAAAGGCAGTGACTTTACAAATATCTGTAACTCTATATTCACTTATCTATCTATGAATATGTATATATGTATGAGAATGTTTTTATGCATGCAATAAACCAGCTGGCTTTGTTCCAAATTCTCAAAGCACCTTCTTGCAAATCGATCATACATTGCACTAAAACCAGTTGCCCTTCCAGCCCCTCCTCTAACCGATCTTTTACTTTTGTTCCCAAGGAAGACAAATTTTGCAATAAGCAAATCTAAGTACTAGCCAACACAGGCAAAAAGTACTTCAGAATGAGGAACCTTGTTTTCAATGGCCCTCAAAACAGTTCTGTTTACCTTGGGTAACATGAAAAGGAAAAAAGGACAGCTCCAGCTATGTGGGTCCTCTCCTCCATCACTTGCTGTAAATGTCAAACCACACATCACCTCCTCATTTAACAATCAACTGATCAACATCAGTATAAAATCTTTAGTATGGCCCAATAGCCAAGACAATCACACAGCACTTTCCTTGCCCAGTTTCAACAACAGGCTACAGCATTCTACTTTTTTTCAAGAGGAAGAGCAAGTTAAGGAACATAAGGTAGTCTAGGCACCATTAGTATGATAAATGTCAAAGAACATCTTAATCTGAATGAAAACAAAGCATTTGTATCACTGATACTCAATATTCGGGCATAATCTATTAAGTGTTATGCCCAAATTTATCACCTCAGTGGAGAGTAAGAATATGCACTGGCTTCCTAACAGTCAAGATGCTGTTTTTACCAATTATTCCACTTCGCAGTATAATCCTGTTAAAAATGCAGCAAATGGATGCAGATCCACGAATAAAAACTCACTCTTTGAAGGTCCCAGGCAAATGGGTTAAGAAAAGGACTTTCTCCTTCAATCACAGCATTAGCAGGTACGCGAGTGATGCGAAGTTTGTGGAGAACAAATGTCTGATAGACTCTTAAAGATGGTGTGGGAAGGGAAACACAGTCCCTCTAGAACCACAGAAAACTATATTTATACTAGCTGCACTGGGCATGCTCTAAGTATCTTTTTCTTGTCAGTCTAACTCTGGAGGAACAGATATTCAGAGCATGCCCAATGTAGCTAGTATAAAGGGTTTCTGAGGGATAAAGATGTCTGTGGTTCTGGAAGAACATTCATACTTCATGAAGAATCTCCTCAAAAAGCTCCACTGGCATTTTTAGAAGTCTATCACTTGGTATACTTAACCATGTGTTTTCATAAACACTTGTAAACCTTGCCAAGACTTCAAATTCCTGCTCAAAAGCATCCTTTGGAAGTGGTAACACTGTCTAGCAGAAAGAGCTGTTAATATTGGCAAGATCACTTTTCCCAGCCTCATTCTTGAAAACAGCTGGGAAGATTTTTCTGGAATTTGAAAAAACCACAAGATGAAGAACAGAACAGAAGTATAGCAAGAACCTGTATGGAAAAGCTGCAGTTTAGCACAGATATTAGTAATAGATATAATGGTATCAAAGCACAAAATACCTCAGGAACTGTAACTATAAGCATCACTTGTAATATAAATTGTGTTTATACTATACCTTTGCAATGAACAGCTATAACACCTTCAGCATTTTCACAAATATTTAGAAATGTTTTAACTATAGTATCACCAGGTGTGCTTCCATCAGCAAAGAAGAGGTCAAAATGCTCAAATCCGGCATCTGTAAATCGTTTGGCATCGTACAGTTTTTTGTTGAGGCGTATTATAGTGGTGACCTTATGTTTCCTGAAGTATGGGAAATAAGCCTCTGGGGCATGGTGGGGATAGCCTATTTGAAAAAATAAGATAAAAAAAGAGAATAGAGTAAGGCTCAAAATGCAGAAATAAACAAAGAGGCAAAAACAAGAGATGAAAACACTTTCAAAATAGAATTCATGTTCAACATAAAGAAATAGACTAACTGAAAATGGAATTTTAACATAATCACCTAGGTCAGATACAATTAAACCAAGCATTAAAATTTTACTGCCAGGGTTCTTATAAAAGAAAAAGAGCCAAGGAAAAAACACACTGTTTGAGGAACAATTTTTAAAGCTTGTTCTTACTGATAACAATCAACTAAGAAAGCAGTGGGCTTGTGTCCCCCACCTCCTTCTTTAAGCATACCATTTTCAATTTTACTTCTTGAATGAGGTCCACTGAAGGCAATGAATTTGTTTGGTATTATCCAGTTAAAATCTCCATTTTCTGCTCTCTGTCAAGAGAAAATGCTTGGTTTATCATTATCCCTGTATTTTCAGGCTTTTCCTTATTGTTTCAAAATACATGCTAGATAGAAATGATGTACATTTGAAGTTATGTTAATCTCCTGTTTTCTGTTCCATTGGGAGGATGACAGATGCTCTCAACCTCACTTTTCTTGCCTGTGTTCTCTTCCTAAATTAGAGTTTTAGAACAACACAACTGATGCCCTTCAGATGAAGGACAACTTTCAATTTTTAATAGGTTTCTAGATTATGAACTTGGCCTTATCTCTGTTCACTATTTAAATCATGATTTTTTTCGATTCTAAGAATACAATTTTTTCTTTTGAGATAACTGGCAGCTTTGCATTTCGGAGACTCCATATAGCCAAGAATTACAGTCCTTCATTGTCACATTAATTTCCCACGCCCCTAAGTGAATTTTATGGGCCTGGAGTTTCCCAGCCCTACTTCATTCTTTACCTCAAAGAGTGCTATTATACCTTTGCCATGTGTTCACAGATACGTAGTTCAATTGCTCTCCAGAATTCAGTTAGACTTGGACTTGTATGCCCTTGAATTTCTCATCAAGATTGCTCAAGCATATGCATGACCTCTAAAAGGTGGCCAAATTCCCACTTCCCAGTCATCTTCCATGGCTTTAACAATAATGGAAAAAAACATTTATTTCCATTTTTGTTTCTGCCTTCCCCCCCCATGTTTGAGGCTGACTATGCTTAAATTTGAATTTTAATATTCTCTGTCTGACCACACATCTTTATCTAACAATCTAAGTTTAAGGAGACAAAACAGAAATGGAATCTAATACTAGAAAAAAAAGTAACATGTATTATAAACAATCATCACTAATAACAGCAAACAAATCAGAAGTTTGATACTGAACACTTACTTCATAATGCTCATATTCATTTACATCAAATGTATTGAAATCCAGGAAACCATACCGAAAAGCCTAAAATTCAAAATACAGCTTTTAATAAAGACAGCACCTTTTCAATAATGACAGTTTATCACTCTTCTAGGCTACTGAAATTCTGTTAATACCTGTTCTACTCTTTCAGAGAGATTTCTTCATATATTTAACAAAAATACAGACCAACTCAGTCTTGGTTTAAAACAGGTTTGTAAATTTTAATGTAAGTGAAGTCAGACAAGCAAATCCACTCTTTTCTTCTTTCATCAAATCACTACAAAATTCCAGACTACAGAAGCATTCAGTCTTTTTATTACTGCTAGGTGTACAATATTAAAAAGAGAAAAATAACTGGAAAAAATTATCTGTTGAAATTATGTGTACAATCTAAAGTCTGAAATCAAGGATTGCAAATATTTTTGTGCATGAATGCTATTTGATCTCAATACGATGACAGTATCTTCACCGATTTCAAATTGTTTGCAGATACACAGTCCTAAGCACACACTAGTGTGGGCTCTGATGTACTGTAATTATCCACTATTTTATTTAATACTGTATAAAAAATGTAAGTATCTGGGTAACTGGCAGTTGACCCACTTGTTAAATCAGGAAGCACAAACAGAGAAAATATCTCCAGGTATTTAAAACACTACATTCTAATCTCCTCTTTCACTGCATAATTTTCAGCAATTTTCCTTGCTGTTCAGTGGTACTAAGAATAATAGCAGTTCACCACTCCTGGCATACAAGCAGCCAATGTCAAAACATCCCAAAAAACTGAAAATCACAAATCTTCAAGAAGCTGTCTTAATGAGTAAAACCACCAGTATTTGGCAGATACTCATATACAAAACAGTAGCAAGGTGGAGAGCTGCAGAATTCCCCATTGCACTACTCACACAGACTAAAAAGAATGCATATAAACTCCCCTGTCCTTCAATGCCATGTTACTTCACCACTGTATTGCTATAGAACACTAGATTATGATAATCTGTAGTCTAAAAAAAAGTACCTGCCTCCTGTTCTATTTGTATTACTAAAGCAAAACCTGAAGTCATTACCACATGCTGCAAATGCCTAAAAACTATCACTAACCAATTTAAAAGCACTTTCAAAGGATATATTCAGCCTAAAATGTAACATCAGGGGGGCATACGATAAACTTATCACACAACCCTGAGGAATTAGAGGTGTGACTTACTGCCCTGAAAGATGCCCTTTTAAAAATCTTCACTAGTTGATCATGTATCAGTTGGCTTCTATGAATGAGGTACATAGAAGTTTTGTTACAATGCATAATAAATTGGAAAATCTGCTACTGCATAACTCTAACTGGATCCTAGGTTCCTAATTCTTCTTTTTCTGCTGGGCAATATTTAGTTGAAGTTTTGCAATACAAAAAATACTGTTTTACTGACCTTGTTTATTGCATAAAAACAGTCCAGCAATGTCAGATGAAAGCTGCAAGTACCAAAGGAAGCATCCCTATAAAATATGATGACCAAAATGGTAAAATTATCCCATTTTAATAAAAGTGAAAGCAACTAAAGATAGTTCTCTCAAACACCTTTAAAAAATTGCTTCAAGATAATTACTATTATAATGAAATAATTACATCAATTGATTACTTCCGTTTTCCCCACCTTGCAACTTACAATAATATCAAAACATAAAATAAGTTATGTTAACAGATAATCCAAGAGTAAGATTATTCCAGTTATAGTTTCAGTGAAGCTGATGTATTCGATTTCTGATATGGACACTGAACTGGCATTTTTCAGTGTTCATGTCAACACAGAACAGACAACACAAACTCCTTGTGGCAAAAGCTAATCCCTAAATTAGTATCATATTAACATACACTCTTAGAATACTTTAATCTGAAGTACACTTTCAAGTAAGTCAAATTTTAATGCACTGCAAATTTTTTCTTCAAACTACATTTAAAAAAGATGCTGTGCATGTACATTCTATGTATATGTGAACAGCATTTTCTTACTATAACTATCAAGACACACATTTGTGAAGATATATTAAAGTACTTTCCTTAAGAAGCATAAAATAGTTTATGCTTAAACATGAGGAGAAAATAGTTTTCATTAAATACAATTTTTTAAATTCTGTAGACCCAAGAATGGCATGTTCTTAGTATGTGACCACTATTAGTTTCCATAAGCACTGCAGAATAAGCACTCTACAGGAATACTAAAATCAAAAATAAATTTAAAATGAATCTACGTCAAAGAATATTATGTCTTAGCAGAACACCTTCTTCTGAGACCATGCATCCCTCATCAGCAGAGAATCATTACAGTTTTAAAAAAGTAAAAAAAATAACATGTTCAAATTTCATCTGAGAGGAGGAAGAACTTCTGGAGAACCTGGATGGCTGCCTCTGCAATTTGTCTGTATCCATTTCCTTTGTAATGAATCAATGTGAAAGGTGGGGGAAAAAAAGCACCAGAAGAAGTAAATATCAGAACACCACTCAGGTAAAAGAGAGGACAGGTAAAGGTGACATTGCAGTGGAAGTCTGTTAGGCCACCTGACCAGGAAGAACAAGTGGATCAGGCCCTCTACAGACAGATGGGAGAAGCCTCACATCTGCAGGTCCTGATCCTCAGGGGGAACTTGAACCAGTCCAATATCTGTTGAAGAGACAACACAGCAGGACATAAGCAATCCAGGAGGTTCCTGCAATGAACTGGTGACAACTTCCTTCTCCAAGTGATACAGAAGCCAATAAGGTCAGTGCTCTGCTGGACCTCATACTCACCAACAAGGAGGAGCTCACTGGGGATGTGAGAGTCAAAGGCAGCCTCAGATACAGTGACTATGAGATGATGAAGCTCAGAATCCTGAGGGCAGAGAGGAGGGTGAAAATCAAGCTGACAACCCTGGACTTCAGAAGAGCAGACTTTGGCCTCTTCAAAGATCTACTTGGAAGACTCTCATGGGATAAGGCCTTGGAGGGAAGAGTGGCCCAAGAAAGCTGGTTAATATTCAATGATCACCCACTTCAAGTTCAAGAGCAGTTCATCCCAATGAATATGAAGCAGGCAAAAATGCCAGGAGGCCTGCGTGAATGAACAAAGAGCTCCTGGCTAAACCCAAACACAAAAAGGTAGCATACAGAGGGTGAAAGCAAGGACAGGTAACCTGGGAGGAATACAGAGAGAGACATTGTCCGAGTATCCAGAGATGAGGGAAAGTTAGGAAAGTTCCAAGGTTAGGAAAGTTAAAGCCCTAATGGAATTTAATCTGGCCAGGGATGTCAAAGAAAAAATGAACGGCTTCTTTAAGTACACAGGCAACAGAAGGAAGACTAGGGAAGGTGTGGACTGTTCAGTGAGACAGGGGATCATGTTACACAGGACATGGAAAAGGCTGAGCTACTGAATGCTTTCTTTGCCTCAGTCTTTACTAGGAAGACCAGCCTTCAAGAATCCCAGGTCCCAGAAACCAGGGGGAAAGGCTGCAGTGAGGAAGATGTACTCCTGGTGTAAAAGGACCAGGTTAGGGAATACTTCTGCAAACAGGACATACCTAGGTCCATGGGCCCTGATGGGGTGCACCCATAAATACTGAGGGAGCTGTTTGATGTCACTGCAATGACACTCTCAATAATCTCTGATTGATCATGGCAACTGGGACAAATGCCTGAAGACTGGAGGAAAGTATCACCCTCAACTTCAAGAAGGGCAAGAAGGAATCCCCACAGAACTACAGGTCAGTCAGCATCATCTCAACCCCCACAGAAGTGATAAAACAGCTAATCTTGAAAACATCAAAATAATCATAAGAAGTAGTCAGCATGGATGCACCAATGCAAAATCATGCTTGACCAATATGATGAACTTCTACAATGAAATGACTGGCCTGGTAGATGAGGGGAGAACAGTGGATGTTGTCTATCTGAACTTCAGTAAGGCCTTCAACATTGTCTCTGTAAGATCCTCATAAACAAGCTAGTGATGTGTGGGCTGGTGGAGCAGACAGATGAATTGAAAACTGACTGAATGGCTGGACTCAAAAGAGTGGTGGTCAGTGGCACAACGTCTGGTTGGAGGCCAGCAACTAGCAGAGTACTCCAGGGGTCAATACTGTGTTTTATCCCGTTCAACATCTTCATTAATGGTGTAGAGAGTTTGCTGATGATACAGAACTGGGAGAAACGGCTGGTAAGCCAAAGGGTTGCGCTGCCACTCAGAAGAACCTTGACAGACTGGAGATATGGGCTAACAGAAGCCTCATGAAGTTCAACAAGGAGGAGTATAAAGTCCTGCACTTGCAGAGGAACAACCTCAGACACCAGTATAGGCCAGGGGCTGCCCAGCTGGAAAACAGCTTTGCAGAAAAGAACCTGGAGGTCGTGGTGAACACCAAGTTGAACATGAGTCAGCAATGTGCCCTGTGACAAAGAAAGCTAATGGTAGGCTGGATGTATGAGAAAAGTATTGCCAGCAAGTCAAGGGTGGTGAATCTTCACCTCTCCTCAGCACTAGTGAGGTCACACCTGCAGTACTGTGCCCAGTTCTGGGCTCCTCAATGCAAAAGAGGTAAGGACAAAAATGAGAGGTATGTGCCAAAAAGCCACAAAGATGATTAAGGTACTGGAGCATCTCACATAGAAGGAAAGGCTGAAGTAGCTGGAACTGTTCAGCCAGGGGGGACCTTATCTATGTATATAAATACCTGAAGGGAAGGTGCAAAGAAGATAGGGCCAGGCTCTTTTCAGTGGTGCTCAGTGACAAGACCAGAGACAGTGGGCATAAACTGAAACATAGGACGTTCCCTCTGAACATCAGGAAACAGTTTTTCACTCTGAGTGTCATGGTTTAAACCCATCTGGCAGTGAAACACCATGCAGCCATTTGCTCACCCTCCCCCACCCCCAGAGAATGGGGGAAAGAGTTGGAGGTGTAAGGTAAGGAGACTTGTAGGTTGAGATAAAAACAATTTAATAACTGAAATAAAATTAAAATAATAATGATAATAATAATAGTAATAACAGAAAATACAAATGAGTAATGCACAATGTGATTGCTCACCACTTGCTGACCAGTGTACAGCCTGTTCCCAGCTAGTGATCCCAGAGAAGAAAGAATCCTGAAACCACCATCCTGGAAGCCAGAGAGAGCTTTCCAGTCAACGCTTATCTATATACTCAGCATAGGCTGCTAACACCCCTTTTCAGCAGTCTACACTTGAAGCTCAGGCAGTGAATATGTTAACATGTTAAAACTTCAGAAAAAACCTCCAACCCAAATTAGTACTGATAAATGCTACATTCTTCTTCAAAATATCAAGGTACAGAAAATTCTAATAATTTTTTACTTACCTGAAAGGAAGATACGAAATGCTTCCAGCCAATATAAGCCTGTACACATCTTCTGGAGATTCTCTCAGGTATATTATCTATTTTTGTGGAAAAAGACAGAAAAGAAAATAAAAATACGACTTTAAGATTTATATTAATACCTTCAAGTCACTTGTTTACTACAGAAGGCTTAATTTATTACAGAGTTCAAAAGTGCTGAGAAACAGTGGCAAGAAGAACAATGGTATGCAAGTGTGCAACAATAAAACTAAAATAAACATATAAAATACTAAGCCAAAAGGAAGATATATTTTTAAACAAAATTTATAAATTTGTGCAGTGTGTTGGTTTAGGCCCTGCCGGGACCGGAGAGCACGTTGCTGTTGCCCCTCCCCCACCCTCAGCTGGTCGGGCTGGCAGTGAGGCACAAACCCGGGTTAAAATAAGAAGAAATTGAATACAACAGTGTGATAAACAATCTGAACAACAACAGTAGTGATGATAACAACAATAAACAGCAATAGCAGTGAACAAGACAAACAATATACAGAGAAATACCACAAATGGTCACAGAACAAAGCCTACGTGTGGGGTCCCGCCACCAAAAAGCCAAAGAGAAAGTAAAATTAATGTTTCCCGCCCCTGGACCTGACACCAGCATGGTATGAATAACCCAGCTGGAGATCCCTTCCCCCTCTCTCTCTGCTGGGGAAACTTAACCCTATTCTAGTTGAACCAGGACAATAGGCTACAGTGAAAAAGCTTCCATTTGTCTGGGTCCTTCCATGTTTCTACTGCAACTCTGCTGGACCAGTTTATAGATTTTTTCTTTTTAATTAAGCTTTTCAGACATAATCCAAAACACAAAAACCCACAGAGATATCAGCAAAGCTATGAATCATTTGGTCTACAAAACAATGCAGTGTACACTCATCAGACAGGATTAAAACAGTATGCTTTGATTTTCCTACAGCAGTGCATCTGCATTATTCAAAATCCTGTACTTCCTCTTTTCCACTGGTGAGGCAGTATCCAGTAACTAAATCCAGATGCCGTTAAAGGGAAAAAAAATAAAAAAAGAAAACTGTAGCTTCAGAAGCAAAATCCTAAGAACGGAATGAAGTAATATACTTGAAGCACTGTGTCAAACTTTCTACTGTCAAAACCACACACAAAAGAATTCACAAAGGACCAGCTCATGACAAATATCCATACGGTCTTCCATCATGACATGCCTGAATCTCTCTTGGATAGTCTCTAACACTAAGGTCTTCTTAAAGAATACTGTAAAATTCCTATTCTATGCAAATAATTTATTCCAATACATCAAACACCAGCTACAGCATGGCCAAGAGATAACAACTGTTAATAACAAGCTGTCATTAACAGGTCAGTATTCAATAATTTCAAGTTAATACTTCTTTAAAACTGCATTAACTAAGCTTTAACACACTATAGAAAGCTATTTTTTCACTAATGTTTTGTAAAATTATTTACATAGCTTATATTAATGACCTCACACACACATGGAACAGATGTTGTTAAAGAACACCCAACAAAACAGTTTGAAACATATCCTAAAAAGCTAAAACATACATGTCAACAGGTGATGCCTTTTAGTTTTTCCTCTGATTCTATTACTGTGTTAAGTATTTTCTAAGCATTCTTCCCGGACAATTAGCAAAACCAAATAAAAAATGTACTTAAGTAGTTAAGTAAAGTAATGAAAACTGTATGTTTTGTGTTTGTGTGAGCTTCTGCTGGGGAGGGATAAGTGACTTTTGCATTTATATTTGAAGCATACAATAGGAATAGAAGAGAGACTTAAAAAGCCGCCAAAATACCACAGAATAGCTGCTCCTCAGATGCCAGAGTTCACTTGCTATTCTGCTGATAAATCCATTGCCTAAATTGGATATAAAGGTTACATTCCAAGAAATTTCAAGTTGGGTGCTTTGATACAGTCACACTTTGTGTTGTGCAGCACAGTGAACACATACTGCTAGCAACCATAGAAATCTAGCACTGCTTGTTATCAGAAAAAGAGCTCCAGAGAGATGAAATGGCATTAACAAACAGCAGAGACAGAGTTTGTAGCCAGAAATGAGTCACCTGGAAAGAACTTGGGATTTGGTGCTGTAAGCCTGGGTAATACACAGAGAGTACTACTTGTACAACAGACAAATAGAAATGCAGCTAATACTTGCTAATACTGTAAAGTGCATGTAGCTCAGAAAGGCCGAGGATTTCTCTTGTATCTCTGCTGAGCTTTTACCTGCTTAAAGAAAACAAGCTTTAATGCAGAAGCATTTGTTTGAAAATGTAAGAGCTGCAAGAGGCAAGTTTTTTTGCATAACATTAACTGTTGTATTAAAATAGGATACACCCGAGGGTGCTGAAGGAGATGGCTGGGGTGCTCGCCAAGCCACTTTCCATCGTTTACCAGCAGTCCTGGCTGACCGGGGAGGTCCTGACAGGTTGGAAATTGGCCAATGTGACGCCCATCTATAAGAAGGGTCGGAAGGATAATCCGGGAAATTACAGGCCTGTCACCTTGCTTTGGTGCCTGGAAAGCTGATGGAGCAGCTCATCCTGAGTACCATCACACAGCACATGTGGGACAACCAGATGCTCAGGCCCAGTCAGCATGGGTTTATGAAAGGCAGGTCCTGCCTGACAAACATGATCTCCTTCTATGACAGGGTGACATGCTTATTGGATGAGGGAAAGGCTGTGGATGTTGTCTACCTTGACTTTAGCAAGGCATTTGACACTGTTTCTCACATCATTCTCCTGACAAAACTGGCTGCTCGTGGCTTGGATGGGCACACACTTTGCTGGGTAAAAAACTGTCTGGATGGCTGGGCCCAGAGAGTTGTGGTGAACGGAGTTAAATCCAGTGGGCGGCCAGTCACGAGTGGTGTCCCCCAGGGCTTGGTGTTGGGGCCACTCCTGTTTAACATCTTTATTGATGATCTAGACGAGGGGATCGAGTGCACCCTCAGTCAGTTTGCAGATGACACCAAGTTGGGTGGGAGTGTTGATGTGCTCGAGGGTAGGGAGGCTCTGCAGAGAGACCTGGACAGGCTGGAGCCATGGGCTGAGCCCAACTGGAGGAGTTTCCATAAGGCCAAATGCCGGGAGCTGCCCTTGGGCCACAACAACCCCCAGCAGTGCTACAGGCTTGGGGAGGAGTGGCTGGAGAGCTGCCAGTCAGAGAGGGACCTGGGGGTGTTGATTGACAGCCGCTGAACAGGAGCCAGCAGTGTGCCCAGGGGGCCAAGAAGGCCAATGGCATCCTGGCTTGTGTCAGCAATAACATGGCCAGCAGGGACAGGGAAGGGATCTGACCCCTGTACTCGGCACTGGGGAGGCAGCCCCTCGATTCCTGTGTTCAGTTTTGGGCCCCTCACTCCAAAAAGGACATTGAATGACTCGAGCGTGTCCAGAGAAGGGCAACGGAGCTGGTGCAGGGTCTGGAGCACAGGTCGTATGGGGAGCGGCTGAGGGAACTGGGGGTGTTTAGTCTGGAGAAGAGGAGGCTGAGGGGAGACCTCATCGCCCTCTACAGCTACCTGAAAGGAGGTTGCAGAGATCTGGGGATGAGTCTCTTTAAGCAAGTAACAAGTGATAGGACAAGAAGGAATGGCCTCAAGTTACACCAGGGAAGGTTTAGACTGGATATTATGAAGCATTTCTTTCCAGAAGGGGTTGTTAGGCGTTGGAATGGGCTGCCCAGGGAGGTGGTGGAGTCCCCATCCCTGGAGGTGTTTAAGAGTCGGGTCGACATAGTGCTGAGGGATATGGTGTAGTTAGGAACTGTCATTGTTGGGTTAACGGTTGGACTGGATGATCTTCAAGGTCCTTTCCAACCTAGTTGATACTGTGTATGTGATTCTGTGTATGTGACAATAAGTCTAAATGTTACAGTATACTGAAACATATTAGTTCTTAAACACAGATACAACTTCCGAAATTACATTATCAGTGAAGTTGACAGAAGCACCATTTTAACATACAGGCACTTGTACATGGACTTTCCTTAATGTAGTTATATGAACACTTGCTACATATACGGACAATTTAAAAAGCCAACCTGATTTTGACACAAAATTCCAATGTCTGCCATTGTTTAGTATGTACAAAAAGCACACTGCAAGAAGATAGCATTTTTCAGTGTGGACAAGCTACTAAGAAATAATATACAGTACTTCCTGTACAACTGAAGCAATATATACAGTATATTCAAGGAAGAAAGGAAGCTCTTTGAGTTGGACTTCTCAGAATTTTCTGAGATACCCTGCTACACTTCAGCTCTGACACTACCACACACTCATGATATGACATATGAACAGTTGCAGAGACAGCAGTTGATGAAATAGTCAAATGGTGTTCTCAGTGAAAAGTGGCTTACAAAAAAAATTAGGTTAGTCTCAGGATATCTGGACAGGTGCAATGGTGTGGACTGCTTCAAAATAGAATAATGGCATTCAGTTTCTACACAGAATGGGAAAGGCCATAAACAGATACTTACTTCACAAGGAAAGTATTCTGGCAGTAACACAAAACAAGAAGCTGTGACTTGTGTGTGCACACCAGATCAGTTTCTGTCACAGCTTAACACCACAGGAGAGCACTCAGATGGAAATCTTGGATGCAAGCAAGGCAGGGTGGAGGCTGAACATGAGTGAGCCTGAATTCAGGTTGTGGATGAACTGAGTTTCAGATATGGAAACAGGTAAGACTTAAGGAGTGAGGGAAGGAGCAGCAAACTCTGAGGAAGCAACAGACAGATGTAAAGGCAGTAGAGGCCACATCTGCATCAGGAAGCAGTGTGCACTGGCAGAAATGCCTATGTAGACTGACACCCAGCACTGGAGATCTGACATCTGCACTACAAGCTTTCAACAGCTTTTAACCTTAACAGCTAGTCCTAGTCTGGTCCTGTGGACCGAACACCCATTACCTGTTGGGATTGATCCTAGACTGCTCCATGAAGTGAATCAAAATGCAGTGAGCAGGGTTTAAGCAAAGATTAACTTCAAAAAGATACTCCTGACACAAACTGAAACTGTAACATAGTTTTTAATATATATAT